ATGACCTTGTATCTCGTGAACTATTGACATTTTTGAAGATATAAACTCACCCCGAGGTTACACTCATCAAGACCTTTCATTTGAGTACCCACATCAATTTTCCATATATTTCATATACTTATATATATATATATATCATATATATATATGTATATATGAAAAATATATCAAAAATGCATGTGTGTACTCAAATGAAAGCTCTTGATGAGTGTAACATCGGGATGAGCTTATATCTTTAAAAATGTCGATAGTTAAGAAAATACAGGGCAATTTAACAAAAGTCATTATTTAATAACGCAAAATTTTATATATTTATAGTTCACAAATCACGGAAGTTACATAGTGACTTCAAGCGATTGCTAGTTTTTTTTATTTGCGCTCATACTTAAAGACTTTTATTCATTCAAATTAATGAGACTAAAATTAGCAGATACTTGACAAAACTTTTATTTTTCTTGAAAAGTAAATTGCATTTAAAATTTTTTAGATCTAAAGATAGAATTCTTTAAATAAATTTATCTTGCTATAATTTATATATTCATTAAAAAAATTCTAAAAATTGTCTCTCAATTTCAGTATTATTGAAATTAAAATTTTTGTCAATAAAAAAAGTGTGAGCTATAAAAAAAAGTGTTAAAAATAAGTTATTTTTCATAAAAAAAAAATACATCCAATACCATTTGATTTAATAAGGAGTGATACAAAAAAAAGTATCCAGTACCTGGTGTATGATAGCAGATTGCACAGAACGCAGCATAGCTGATACATAGAATCTATCGCGCATCCGCGGATAGTCAAGGGCACAAGACGTCTCGTGGATACGACCCTGAGTAGCTGGCAGTATGGCCACTTCTCGGTAATCGGAACTCGCAGTGTTGTGCTGTGATGTGACCGTGTGACTTTTCTGACGTACATACGACGCATTACTAATATATATCAGATATACATTACCAACAAACAATACAGTTGAAAAAAAATTCATAACAATCACTGGGGCTAAATATTAATTGATTTTTAACAATTAAAAATATTTACATACCATAACTAGATATTTTGTTGGATCTGGTCGGCGAATCAGCGGCCTGCACTAGTTATTGTTATTACATTACTATTGTATTGTGCGGATCATGTACTAGTTATTTACTATTATGGCTCTTCGACAACAGTAAACAAGTCAGCTTCAGATAGTGACACTCCTAGTGACAGACAATACGTATTTTAATATTAAATATCAACAATTGTTTTAAAAAAATAAAATAAATAGTAAAAGTATTTGCATACTTAACCTGTGAAATGATAAAAGATATGGTAGACGATGAGGCGACCCAGGCCACTAATGATGACGCCAGTGAGTGCAAAAGACACGCGGTTAATCTTGGATACTGGACGGATCCTTTTATTAATTTTTTTGTCCGGCAAACTATTCGAAAACCTCCAGAGATTAATCGAGGATATTATGCACGAGTCAAAGGGATGGAATATTTTATTGAAAGATTTTTAAAGGTATTTTTTTTCAATTTCTTTTTAGCAGACAGCTGATTTTTAAACTTTTAATTGAAAATTAATTATGACATTAAAGTTAGCAGTCACTTAACAATTTTTTAATTTTATTTATCAAAAAAATTTGTTCCAGAAATTATTTTTAAAAAATTGCATTTTTTATTTTTAAAAATTTTTACATTCTAATTTTTTTTGCCGTTTTATTTGCTATAAAATTTAAAAAATTTTTAAATGTAATGAAAATAAAGTTAGCCGACATTTAAAAATTTTTATGATTTTTTTTATTAAAAAATTATTATAAAAAAATAAAAAAAAAATGTTTTCATTTGTTAAAAACTTAAAAAACTATGTGCAATTTTTTAAAAATATTTTTTAGTTATAATTTAATAAATTAAGCAAAATAATTTTAAGATATCTAATTTTTTTTATTGCACTGAAATTAATTTTTTTTTTAATATTTCAAGTAGAGTTTTTGACTAAGATTTTAAAATTGATACATCTAATTTTTAGTGTTTTTTTTAAAATTCAAAAATTTTTTATTATTTATAGTGATAATTTCAAAAGAAATTATTTATGACAGATAATTTTTAAATTATAATTCATTTATAATCAGATTTTAAAAAATTTAATTGAAAATTTTTTAGTTCAAGAAATTTAAATAAATTTTATTTATTTAGTAATAAATTATACTGAAATGAGCAAACATCTCAAAATTCTTGGAATTTTTATAACAAATCAATAATTATAGAAAAAAAAGTATTTAAGAAAATTTGCACTTTTAATTTTTACATGTGAAGTTTTTTTATTATAACTTAATTGTTATAAGAATAAAAAAAATTGTTAAATGTCTGTTAAATTCAGTGTCATAGTAATAATCAATAAATAATTACAAAAAATGTACATTGTCAATTATACGACATTAAAGTTAGCAGTTATTTGACTTTTTTTTAACAAATAAATTTGATCCAAAAAATTATTTTAAAAAAATTGGATTTTCAATTTCTACATGTCAATTTTTGTTTCTAATTTTTTTGCCATAATTTATTTGTTACAAAAATTTTTTAAATTATCAAATAGCTGCTAAATTAATTTTCATGTCAATTATAACTATATTAATTAAAAAAAAAATTATGTGTATTATTTTTATATGAAAATTGTTAAAAAATTGTCAGGTGTCTGTCACTTAAACATTAATTATTATTATTAAAGCATTTATTGATTTTTTTTGTTTGTTTGTTTTATTAATGACAGTATTTGTTGGTATAGAGCTTATGAAAATAATGACAATAATATATATAAATAAAGTATAACCTCACTGGTCAAAACATATATATTGTGGTGGATGCTCCGGCGAATGCAGACTTACAGCTGATAAAGTACTGGTAGAGGGGATGATACTAAATAGTGATGGAAACCTTGACCTGACCGAGGCCCTGGCCTAATTTTAAACTGTACCAGGATCTCACCTTTTATTGCGAATCATACAAACGTAGACGTATCCATATATATGGGTCAATGTAAAATCAATGACGGGATTACTATTTTCTTCTTCTTTCTTATTATATTGTCTTGTTCTTACATTTATTTTCATTTGTTTTCTTTTTATTAAGTTTTATTTTCATTAGTGCGATCTTTCCTGAGGGAGCTGCCGCTTCTAGAGAATAAATTTTGCTATTAATTATATGTGAATTTTTTAAAAATAATTTTGGAGCAATTAAATATTCAAATAATTTTTAATGTTGATTATAAAAAAATTTCATCAAATTATTTACAAAAATTCTATTTAAAATTAATTTGCTATTTTCAAAAATTAAAATTTTTTAAATGGAGTGGAAATTTTTAGCGGATTAAAATGATGAATTTCATTAAATAAATTCATGTTGATATATTGAAAAGAAAAGCTCTTCATGGCTGATAGATTGTTATCTGGGAAGATTTATTTCCGCGATTTAGTCATTTAAAGTTTGGAGAGGAAATAATAAAAAGCAATATAAAACATAACGAGGTTTTAAAGATTTTTAGTGGCTTAAATTGAATTTAAAAAAACCTTTTATCATAAAATTTAATTAAATTTCACTGAAAAGCGTTTGCTTTTATTATTTATGGAGGGAAAATTCATTTTAATTCAAGGATTGTTTTGTAAAAAGTAGTTAAATATAATTTTTTTCAATTTTTCTTATTAAAAAAAAGTTTGTCCTCCAAATTAATGACAAATTTGATTTATGAATAGAAAATACTCAAATATAAATATTTTTAAGAAAAAAAAATACTTGAAATTAAGGTTTAAAAGTTATAAAAAATGCAGAAATATTAAAAAAAAATCAGGTATAAAAATTTTGCAGTTACTGTGTTTTAAAATTGGGCAGCCGTGTAGAATTATAGCTTAATTTTTGACGAATTATATTTAAATATGATAATTCTAATACTTTATAATCAAACTAATGTATCAATTACTAAAAATTTATTATTAACAAACTATTGAATTTAAAAAATACAAAGAGAAAATTCGTGCAGTAAATTTAATTAAAAACAGCGAGATTGATGAATTTTAATTGTGCAATTAACAAAAATGAATGAAACAAAACAACGATATTTTGCCCGCGGTAGTATTAACTTCAAAAAGCCATTGTACTGTGTTTTATATTGCTTTAGAATTTTCAGAGAATTATTTTTTCGCTTGAGTTGGTTTGTAATAAATTTTATAAAATATATTTAACAAAAGCTGAAGACCCTCGGGCAGTAAAAAACATCAATCAGCAAAATTTTTGTGCATTATACTCTTCAACTTCACAAAAGAAGATTTATATTTGATGAAATTAATGTGAATTTACAAACCATTAATGCTGTTAATTTTTTTTTTTAGCTTTATGACAATGATATTGCAAACATTGATTTTTTTAAAGTTTTAAAATAGTTTGAACTTTATTTCTACATAATTACGACAAAAAATATAAATAATTTTTTATTATTATTGCAGCATAATATGTATTAGTTTATTGATTATAGTTTGAATATTATTACAGACTTGACGAGTTGAGTTCATGATTGAAAATTTTTTATTAAAAATTATACAATATTCTTCCATTAAAAGATTTCAAGCAGTAATTTATTTTGAACTCAGTTTTCGGACAGCGCTCAAATTTTAAACACTTTTAAATTAACTAACCTGCCAAACGAATAAGACTATTCAATTTTATAAAATTAAAAAAAAAATATATTCTTTGTTTTTATTTATAAAAAATACTCATCACGTTTCTGTATAATAAAATTGTTGTTAAAAGGTATCACAAGTCAATTTATATTTTTAATAAAGAAATAAAATCCGTAAAGAAACACTTTATTTATTAAAAGCAAACCGGAATATTGCAATATTACCGTTAAAATATTCCTTTATTGAGCTTTCAATGTATAGTATTGAATTGTAACTTGATATAGAAGGAAAAGTTAATTAACTTTTGAAACATATATATGTATCTTCACTTTGCGCACAATTATTAAACTTGTTTGTAAATGTGACTTACCTTAAACGAAACAAAATGGTAATTATAAAATACGTATGCTCTCGGTTAATTAAGAGCGAAATTATTGAATAAATGCACCAGACATCGGATATCTTTTCAGTTACCTACATAATCCCCGGGCAAACTCTCCCAGGCAAGATAACTTAAATGGTAATTATTTAATTATATTGCTCGCCTCATAAGCGAAGCGTTGAGATAGTGCTCTACTCTCGACATGCCCAAAAAGGAGTTTTTTTGAAACTGAAATTGATTTTTTTTTTTTTACTTATATCGTATTTACCGGATAAAATTAGTGCACTTATATCAAGTCAAAAATCTGTCAGGCACATAAAATCTATTTCAATAATTATCTATATTATTAAGAGAATAAGCAAAATTTTGTGGCCAGTGTATTTATATGATAAAATGGGTTTTTAGGCTGCATTCGAAAATGCTCTATCTCTAGATAGATAATTAAGAAATGAACTTGTATCTCGTAAACTATTGACATTTTTAAAGATATAAGCTCATCCCGATGTTACACTCACTAAGGCCTTTCATTTGAGTACCCACATCAATTTTTCATATATTTATATTTATTATATATATGTATATATGAAAAATATATCAAAATGCATGTGGGTACTCAAATGAAAGCTCTTAATGAGTGTAACATCAGGATGAGCTTATATCTTTAAAATATATTTTTTATATACGAATATATGAAAAATATATAAAAAATGCATTGATTTTCCAAGCTTTTTTTATTTTATTTCGACAAATGTTTTTGTAATAATAATAACAACAGCAATAATAATAATAATAATAATAATAATAATAATAATAATAATAATAATAATAATAATAATGTTTCAATAAAAATTGCTGTCACATCATAAAATTTTTATTCTATAAAAAATGAATAAGATAAAAGACCCAGTTATTGACACTGGCCTAGTTGTTTGACACTTGCAATTTTATTCTAATTAAAAAAATAAAATGTCTTTAAAAAAACAATTATCTTGAAATTTATAATTAAAAAATTATATTTCTTAATTTATTAGAGTTAATTTTTTTTTTTCTTTAATTAAAATAAAATTGCAAGTGCCAATAACTGGATCTTTTATCTTATACAAAAAACAAAACGTCACATATATCTTGAAATATTTTACAATGAAATTCATCACAATTTATGATGGTATAAAACATGCAAATATAAGAACAATAATTTATAAAAAAAATTGTAATAAAATAATAATAACGTTCACTAATGTCAAATCTTTGTAATATATTGTTGTGTTGGTTTTTTTTTCTTTGTTTTTTGTCTATCATAACTGTAGTCGCTACTAGCGAAGAAGTTTATACGACTTTAAAAAAACAAATAAATAAATAATAAAATTTTTTTAACTAAATAAATATATAAAATATTATTGTTTTTTTTTTTTTTAGCTATCCGATGGTAAAGGACAAATAATAAACTTAGGTGCTGGGTTTGATACACTTTACTGGCGATTAAAAGATGCAAGAAAGAGTCCACAAAATTTTGTCGAGCTTGATTTTCCAAGTGTCACTGCTAAAAAAGCTTATCATATTAAAAAACATAAACAATTAATAGACAGGCTTAATACTGAAGGTATTCAACCATCTATTTTTGGAAAGAATAAATAGTTGTAATCAATGACAATAATTAATACGAATTTTCAGATGGTGAGATAAAATTTTCAACAACGGATCTACATGCTGCAGATTACCATCTAATTGGAACAGATCTTCGACACATATCAGAGTTATCAAACAAATTAACGCAAGCTGAAGTCGACTTTAATAGCCCGACATTATTTCTATCAGAATGTGTTCTCGTTTATATAGATAGTAATGCAACATCTTTTCTTATTAAGTGGCTAGCTCAAAAGTTTCCCAATAGTCTATTTGTTAATTACGAACAAGTTAACATGCGTGATAAATTTGGACAAGTTATGCTCTCCAATTTACGTTGCCGTGGTTGTTTATTAGCCGGCGTTGAAGACTGCGAATCACTTGAAACTCAGCAAAGACGGTATTTTTATTTTTTTATTAATAATTTTATCAGGAAATTCTGTAGTAAAAAAATTGTTTAATACTAAAACTAGCAACCTTGCAGTCACTATGTGACTGTCGTGACTTTTGAACTAGAAATAAATAAAATTTTGCTTTATTAAGTAATGACATTTGTTAAATTGCACTGTATTTTCTTAAATATTGATGTTTTTAAAGATACAAGCTCATCCTGACGATACATTCATCAAGAGCTTTCATTTGAGTATCCACATGCATTTTTGATATATTTTTCATATATACATATATATAATATATATAAATATATGAAAAATTGATGTGGGTACTCAAATGAAAGGTCTCGATGAGTGTAATGTCGGGATGAGCTTATATCTTTAAAAATATCAATAGTTCACAAGATACAAGGTAATTTTTTAATTATTGACATTTTTAAAAATATAAGCTCATCCCGATGTTACACTCATCAAGAGATTTGATTTGAGTACCCACATGCATTTTTGATATATTTTTCATAAATACATATATATGATAAATATAAATATATGAAATATATGAAAAATTGATGTGGGTACTCAAATGAAAGGTTTTGATGAGTATAACATCGGGATGAGCTTATATCTTTAAAAATATAAATAGTTCACAAGATACAAGGTCATTTTTTAATTATTGACATTTCTAAAGATATAAGCTCATCCCGATGTTACACTCATCAAGAGCTTTCATTTGAGTACCCACATGCATTTTTGATATATTTTTTATATATACATATATATAATATATAAAATATATGAAAAATTGATGTGGGTACTCAAATGAAAGGTCTCGATGAGTGTAATGTTGGGATGAGCTTATATCTTTAAAAATATTAATAGTTCTCAAGATACCAGATTATTTCTTAATTATGTATCTAGATATGAAGCATTTTCAAATGCAGCTTAAATATTAATCATAATAAATTTACTATCGGTGAGAATGATATGAAACCTTGAAAAAGCACAAATTCAAGTCAAGACCTTTGCAATGACACTAAATTTTACTAAAAAAACCGATTTTATCATATGACTATTCTGGATAAAAAATTTTTCTAATTCTCTTAATAATATAGATTAACAAAAATTTTTTCTAAAGAAATTTAAAAAGAACTTGCAATTTTTTTTATAATTAAAAAAAAAATTTAAGTTATTAAATATTTATTGATATTAATATCAAAATAAATTTTTTTGTTTTAATTCGATTTAAAATTCACAAAGAAATAACATCAATTATTAAAATTTTAATTGCCTCATTTTATTTGCATTTAAAACTACATATACACTATATTATACCGTGACATATTAATAACCTAGTAATTAAACCAATTTCAGTTTTACAATAAACGGCTGGGAAGGTTCAAGTTCATGGACAATGGTTGAAATATATGACTCGTTGCCAGAGTCTGAGAGAAAGAGAATCGAGCGGATTGAAATGTTGGACGAGAGAGAATTGTTGACACAATTATTACAACACTACTGCATCGCCATTGCTTGGAACGGCCCGATGTTCAAAAACATCTCAATAGCCCACGGTTAATAATGACTGTAACTGAAGCCTATCATTAATAAACTTAATGATTTACAATAAATATGATAAAGATAAATAAAACGTGGCGTTACTCCAGGTAAATGAATAAATAATATAAAGTGATGTAATTTTTTAATTTTCACTGTCAGGTACGTGAAAATTTTGTCCGTCAGCTTTTATCCGTGCGTGATAAAATCATTGTTTGAGATTGAAGTTAAGAAATTTTTTTTCTTGAAGTTATTGGAGGTTTCTTAAAGAATGTTGGTAAAAAATTTTTTTAGACTGATTAATCATTGAAAATCAATATTATAGATAAACTAATAAATAAATTATTACTATTTATTATTAATATTGAAAATTTAGTTGGCAATTGACAATGGTTATCGATATTAGGATTTTTGAGTCTTGATATAGTTTAATCTTTGTACTACTTATACCTCGGAATAGCTTTTTTTCTGTGATTTTATAGTAATTCCAGTGGAAAAGTTTATATTTAATAATAAAAGTATTTTTAATAATTATCATCGGTTGTGATGATTAAATTTTTTATAATTATAAAATAGGTTTTTGTTTTTTTTTAATTTTAAATACTTTCTCTTTAATAGATACTTATAAAGCTTAAACATTTTCAGTGGCCTAAGCTGTATTTTTAAATTTCTTCTGAACTTTTAATTTGTTTAAAGTTTCTGTTGTAAACAGCGTCAATCATAATTAAACTTTGTAAAATCTAATTATTTTATTTAAATTATTTTGTTATACACTCCAGATAATTTTCAGTAGAGTAGAAATTTAATAATAACTTTTAATTGCAGCTGCCCGTCATTTGAAATTATAATGATAATTAAAGTTACATTTTTTTTTATATTGTTTAATTTTACAGTTATTTATTGCTTGAAAGCTTGTTACTAATATGAAAAAATAATGATAAATTTACATGATAAATTTTTAAAGTACTATTTGAAATATTTACATAGATTAAGTCTAATCTCATAAATGGTTCGTTCGACTGCCATTTTTTAACTCAAGAGTTTATCATTTAACTAAATACTTTCATACATGGTAGGAAAAAAAATTATTGGCTGAAGTATACTTGAATAACTTTTTTTTTTTCAACAAAATATTCAAGAAGATAAAATCATCTTCGGTAAAATAAATACTCGTTTAGTTTGTAGAAAAAAAAATTATAATGTTTACTTAAAAATTCACCTAAAAAAATATTCACTAATGAAACTTAAAACGATAAATGGAAAATCAGGGTTTTGGATTTATTTAGCATCAAAAGTTAATACTAATAAAAAATTAAAAATTTTTGCTCTGATTCAAAGTAAAAAAGTCTTGCGTTTTTTTTTTTAGCTGTTACAAAAGTGTCAATTAAAAATTGATTTGATTTTGCAAATTATGAGTGAAAGTAAAACTTTTATTTGTTTTCTTCTCTATCAGAAACTCTATAAACTGCGCATGCTCTAATAAAGTACCTGCGCAGTAAATGTTCCATCAAAATTTAGGTTCCCGCATGGAGAAATATATATATCAAAAATATATCTCGCATATATGTCAACATATATTTTTCACATAGATGCTGACATATATGCAGATATATATGTAGACATATATGTAAGCATACACTGGAAAAAAAAATTTCTCAGTTTGAGAATTTTTTTATGACACTGAAGTTAGCAGGCATGTAAAAATTTTTGATTCCTTTTATTAATTAAATTACAACTAAAAAGATATTTCTAAAAAATTGCACTTATAGTTATTCAAGTTTTTTACAAGTGACAATTTTTTTTTTAATTGTTTAATTAAAATTTTTTCAATAAAAAATTTTTTTACTCAAATCAAGAAAGTTAAATTCTTCAAAATTATTTACTTGATTCAAGTTAAATTTTTTTTTGTGTATCTCTAGATATATATATATATATATATATATATATATATATATATATATATATATATATTGCATTTATATGCGCGCATATATGTAAACATATATTTAACGCAAAAAAAATATATGTGAAAATATATATTTGCATATATTTTCTGCATATATATTTTTCCATGCGGATTGTCTAGTGCCATTTTGTAGAATTTGAAGTTATTTTTTCCGTGCATTGATTACAAGTATATTATGGAAAAATTTTGAGACAAAAAGTGATTTAAATTGCAAACTGAAGCCAGAATAATTAATTTTATGGCACACTCTACCTAACTCTTTTTAATGACAATTAAGATGTTTAAACGTTGTCTGAAATGCTTATCCTTGAACCTATTCGCTATGAAGAAATGAAACAATCATAAAAAAAAATTTTCTCAAGTAAATGGTTAAAATAAAAAATACGTATATTTTGCTGTTACAAGTATTGAAAAAAAAAAAAACTATATATATATATACCTGGAGTAACATATATATTCAAGAAACGAAGAAAAAAAGAAATATATTTTTCTGAATAAAAATAACAAAATAAATAAAAGTGTACGTCGAATATAATCGCAGTGTCTCAAATGTCATAAAACTATAAATTATATTTTTTGATGTGGTAAGACTGTTTCAGACGTTATTCTTGTCAATCATAAATGCGCAATTTTTTATTGTGTAGATATATACAGTAATTATTAATTAATTTAATATTTTAATTATGTATCATCAACAATTATTTTACGATGAAGAAGGTGCGCAGTCGCTCAAAAGTTATCCAGCCAAATCAGTTTCATCACTTTTATTAATTAGTAAATTAAATTATATAATTAATCAATTATAAAAATTACAAAACAATAAATTTCAACGAATTAGCACATGCAAATTTTTTTATTATACTGCACCAAAGATTACACGAGCTGTTTGCCAACTAAAAACTGTTTTATTCTTTTTAAATTAGAGATTAATATTCAAATTTAGCTTTTTCATTTTTTTACTAGTAATTTATAATTATTTTATTCGATTATATGTCAGCTGAATATTTATTTGTTCATACAATGACAATAGAATTTTAAAAAAAAAAACTTGAAATTATTTTTTTTAAATCCTGAATTTTTTTCTTGGTAAAATTTATTTTTGTAGTCACTTAAGTATTTATTTATTAAAAATTAAAATTCATTAATTTATGCAGTTTAAATTTAACTTTTATGAGTTTTGCGTGCCAATAAATTCTTGAATGACTTCCAAAAAAATTTTTGAATTTATGCAGATTTATTTATAGAAAAAAAAATAAAAAATTTATGAGAATTTATTTAGCATATATTTAATAACTTTAAAAATTCTATAACAAATGAATTATGGCAAAAAAAAATTATAAAAAAAAATTGACATGTCAAAATTTAAAAAAATAAAAAATGCAATTTTTTTTAAATAATTTTTTGGGATAAATTTTTTTGTTAAATAAAATAAAAAAATTGTTAAATGACTGCTAACTTTAATGTCATAAAAATTTTGTGTAAAATTGTTATGAATTGCAATAATTCAAATTGAGTTCGATTTAAAAATAAAATATTCAGCTGACGTAATTTTATATTAAAAAGTAATTATTTTGCAATTCTGCTTCCTAAATAATTTATATTTAAAGCAAATTCTTACTTACTGTTTTAAGAAAATCGGTATGAGTAAGATAATTTTTGAATTTATAAAATATTTAGTTTATTTATTCGAAATAATCATAGTCATGTGCTTCCATTTAAAGTTTAAAATAAAGTTATAATCAAAGATTATTTATCTTATTGCAAGATTATAATTAAAATAACTAATTCTGTTAAATAAAATGTAAATTGCTTAGAAACTTTAATTGCGTAAAAAAATATACTTTGAAATTAGATTATAAAAATTTGTTACTTAAAAGTTTTAATCTTAATGAGTGAGTTACATTAATAATTAATTTATGAAAACTAATGACTTTCTTATGATAATTAGTCTTAATATTTATAAAAAAAAAAAAAAAAAAATAAAGTTTACGTCTTTGACATTATGTATAGTCCTATTAATAAACAAATTATTTTATTATGTGGATAAAATAGTAAAATAAAGGCTGTAAAATGCAAGTAGAAAATTTATTTTTTTACGATACCAAACTTTTATTTATATACAATAATCTAATTAAATTTATAAATTGCATTGTTAATTAATACCAATAACATTTATTTTGTTTATATAAATACATCAATTATCTAAAAAACAAATAACATTTTGGAAGGCATCAATAGGCACATTTTTAATTATTTATAAATTATAACTTATAACATTATTAGTTATTATAATCTCTTTTCTCTTTTATCAATAGTCTCTTCTTAAATTTATCCCAATTTTATTGATGGAATTTTATTTTTCAATCAATCAATTGTAAAAAAAATTAATAATTAATTAAATAAAAAATTAGTGAATAAATTAAATATTCAAATGAATAATTTAAAAACCCAATGGTGTATTTTGTGCGCATTCACCAACTTCGCATACGTTTCGAGATATAGTTTTCATTTGATTGAATAATTCCAAAGATTTTTCTGATTTAACAACTTTTAAGTTGTACGCTGTACGACTTGCCGCCTAAAAATAAAAATAAAAATAAAGTAATAAAATTATCCAAGACTAGTTTAATTAATTTTTTTAAAAATAAAATTCTGAGATTAAAAAAAAAAATAATAATTACCTCACTACACCATACTTTAGCCATAACTGATTCATGTTCAGCACTCGGTATTTTATTATTCAATGATTGACTAGCTCTGCTCAGAACGACAACAGATGTATATGTATCAATAGCAGCTTGTGCTAGTCTGTTTAATATAAACTGTTCATTCACGATTCCACGCCCGTATTTTATTAAAAGTCCTTCTACAGTTTGTCCGAAATTTTCGATGCTCTAGAATAATTAAAAAAAAAAAAAATTAATAATTATTACCCTTTAATTGAAAATTTATTAAATTAGTGATTTACTTTTCCAGTTAAATTAGCGCTTTCTGCAAGAATAGGGTGCAGTAAGTGAGCAAAAGTCGGGGTTGATCCCAATCCAACGGCTTTGGTAGCGCGCTTAGCCGCTTCTTCGAAAATTAACCCCAAGTTAGCTGCTGGATTTTTGAAAGCTCTTTGGAGTTCTTGTAAGTGTCCTCCAGCATGCTGGATTCCAGTTAACGCGACGAACAATCGCAGAATGTCATTGGTTCCTTCGAAAATTCTGAAAATACGCACATCCCGCATCACACGTTCCAACCCGGTGTCCTTCATGTATCCCATTCCTCCGAGGATTTGGATAGCTTCGTCACACACATACCAAGCTGATTCGGAAGCGAATACCTGTTGATCAAAATATAAATTATGTTCTGCTAATGATAGATAAAATCCATCAAAGAATTAATAATAATAATAATAATAATAATAATACATGAATGTTTTTTAAATAAATTCAAAAAATAATGTGCTATGACAAGACCTATTACCAAAATTTAATAGAAAATATGAAACAAAAACATCACATAAAAATTTATTATCACCGAAAAATATATAAAATTATTAAAAATCACAAATTCAGGTCAAGACCTTTTTGGTGATACCAAATTATGAAAATCCCTTTGAAAATTAACATTGGCCTGTCACAAAAATTTTCTTTATTCTCTTAATTAAAGTAAAAGACCCAGTTTTTTACACTGGTCTAGTTGATTGACTCTTGCAATTTTATTCTAATTAAAGAAATAAAATGTTCTCAAAAAAACAATTATCTTAAAATTTATAATTCAAAAATTATATTTATTAATTTATTCGAGTCGATTTGTTTTATTTAATTAAAATAAAATTGCAAGTGTCAATAACTGAATCTTTTACCTTATATAGATTAATATTTGACTTAGAATTTCATTGACGTGAACAAAACAAAATAAATAAAAAAATTTTGTCAAGTGCAAACTTCGAATGTACCAAGATAAAAAAATACTACGATTAAGACAATTTTTTTAATACAAGAAAATGTATATCTTGAAAAATATATTTTCTTGTCGGAAGAAATTGTCGAACTAATCAATATATTTTTTACTTAATTCAAGTAAAGCTATTCGTATATTCATCTATTATGGTAGGAGCAAATATTTAAAAATTAAGGCAGATTTTGATATTTTTTTGTCAAAAAATAAATACATTTTAATTAAATTCTTGAGCCAAGAAATCCTTTTTTGGAAAATAATTTTTTTTTCTCAGTGTATTCAAAATTACTCCGAAAACTTATTATAATAAATTAACTATCGGTGAAAACCACGTAAAACCTTGAAAAATCATTAATTCAAGTCAAGACTTTAACAATGATATTAAATTTAACTAAAAAAAATTAATTTTTTCATATAAATATCTAGGAGGCTAAATTATTCTTATTCTCTTATAAAATAATAATAATACCTTTGCAATAGCAGCTTCTAATTGATACTCCTGACTACCAAGATCCATGTTACCCGAAATCATGTATGCGAGAGATTGCGTAACATATTGATGCATCGACATCCTTGCTATTTTTTCTTGAATACTGCCATATTGATTAATAGTTTTGCCGAACTGTACCCGCTGGTTAGCGAATTCAACAGCTTTTTTAATACAACTCTGCATCGTTCCCGATAACGCAGCAACCATACCAAATCTCCCGTTGTTCAAAATATTCATAGCGACTTTGAATCCTTGACCTTCACCTACCAACACATTCTCGGCCGGTACTTTAACATCCTCAAAGAAAACTTCAGCAGTGTTACTGCATTTAATGCCCATTTTTTTTTCCGGTGGCCCATTTGTCACACCGCCGAATGCACGGTCTACAATAAACGCCGTTACCTTTTCAGTGGTTTCGCCAGTTACAGGATCTTTCATAGGTACTTTAGCGAAGACGGTGAAAATGTTTGCCCAACCACCGTTCGAGATCCAAATTTTACTGCCGTTCATTACATAGTGAGTCCCGTCTGCAGATTTTACAGCCCGGGTCTTTACGGAACCCGCGTCTGATCCACAACTTGGCTCTGTTAGGGCGAATGCTGCATACTCGCCATTTGAGACACGGGTCAGATATTTTTCCTTTTGCTCTGGAGTGCCGTATAATAAAATACCCTGAAGATTGGAGAAATAATTAATCAATATTACTGTTAATAATGAATTAAAGTTTTGGATAAATAATTTAAGCAAATTTATTGAATTAATTGGGAATTATATGTTTAACTTTTTGGTTAAATAATTGAATAGTTATTAAAACTAATTTCTAAGTTCAATTTTATAGAGCAATTTTAAAAACTCAATTTTTTACTTTTTTTTTTATGTTACTTTTTTTTACAAGATTATTAGAAAATTGAAAAAATGATAAAAAAATTATTTTTAAACTAATAAAAAAACACAAATCAGAAAAAAAATTCTTGATTTCGTAAAAAATTTTTCTGACTTATCTTTTGTCAAAAAATGACAATTTCACAAAAAAAAAAAAAAAAAGAAAAAAAATAAAATACTGCATTTAGGGTAAATGTACCAGTAGTTGACTGATTAAGAATTTTTTGCATTTCAATTGATCGTAATTTAATTATTATATGTTAAAAAAAAATAATTCAAAGTTTATTTAAACTTTAAAAATTTAAGTTTTTAATAAGTATGTGATGTTATTTATTTGAATTATTAATAAAATTACATTTAAATGCAGGTAAGATAAAAATACCAGTAGTTGACCGGTTTGGTCCGGTAAATTGACCGGAATGTTCCAATAGTTGGCCGATAATCAAACATTGGTTATTTTGTAAACTTTAATTAGTTTTTTATATTGAATGTATAATTTTTTTACACTTATTTATTTAAATTAGATTTGTATTATTAGTAAACAAAATTAGTTTAGTTTAGAACAAAACTAATAATAATAAAAACGTAACATTTTGTTGAGGTGCATGTATGCAATTATTAAAAATAATAACTATTACTTAAAATAAACCATTAATTACTGTAAATTTATTATATATTTCTAATATCAACAAAAAAATTCATATTTAAACTTGTCACATTGATAGAAGGATTTTTTTTTATATTTAATAAGCTTTATTAACTGTTAATAAATGATTTGTTAACATCATAGGATTTAATAACAGTTAATCTATTAATATTAAAAATAATGTTTTATCTTTAAAAAGTTTCAAACAAGAAAAATAGTATCATAAGATTTTATTCTACTAAAATTTAAAGTTTTATCATAACAGTGATAAAAAATAATTCATTATGAATTCAAGATCAAATTCCAATTACAATCGTATGTAAACAAATTTAAATTGATGATTGATAATGATAATTATAATTTATTATCAGTCTACTGAGTTTAAAAGTGTAATAATCATCAATAAACTTTATTGTTATTTTTTATTTCAAAAAATATTTGAGATAGCAAACAAATATAAAATTATGAAAAAAAAAAAAATAATTGTAAATGCTATAATTTATAATTATGGCTATGAATCAGGAGAAAGCGAGTTATCAAATTAAAATAGAAAATGAAAGTAGAATAATATATGATAATAAAGTTAGCCGACGTTCAAAAATTTTTCTATTTTTTTTTTAACAATTAAATTGCTAGTAAAAAAATACTTTAAAAAAATTGCACGTATAATTTTTTTAATTTTCCACATGTGAAATTTTTTCTTTTAATTTTACAGTAACAATTTTTTCAATAAAAATTTTCAGATGTCAGCTAATTTAATTTTCATGAATAATATTAGAGATCAATGAACTTACTTTAAATCCAATACTTTGATGTGCGCCCAGCATAATACCGACACCTAGATCATTCTGACCTACTATCTCGACCAATCTTGCATACTGAGTGTTGTTCAGTCCGATACCTCCGTATTTTTCGGGGACTTGAATAGAAAACCCTCCTAGATCCCACAGTGTTTGCTTTATTTTGTCATCCACATCTGCTGTATCGTCGTTTTTAACTGGGTCATTAACTTCCTAGATCACAAATAGTCTTACAGTTTTATAATCCAAGTGCAAACTCATGAATATGTATTGCAGCATTGAATAATTAATAAAATAAATGAGTTACCGCAAAAAAATTAGAAAAAGGATCAACAAGCATTTTTAACGTCTCCGATTGATCAGAATTCAGCGCTTTTGGAAATGGAATGACTTGCTCTAGTTGTAATTGACTTCGGAACAAATTCATTGTGAATGACAATGATTCTTTTTTTTCCTTTGTCTCCTTTGCGGGATTTTCCTTCGCAGCTGTCTGGGTCGCTAGACATCTATTAATTTTTAATAATTATTATAATAGATAATAAATAAAAAAATAATAATAAAGTTAGCCGACACCTTGATTTTTTTATTTTGCTTAATTTATTAAATTACAACTAAAAAAATATTTTTAAAAAATTGCACTTATAGTTCTTGAAGTTTTTAACAAGTGAAATTTTTTTTTTTTTTATTTTTTTGTAATAATTTTTTCAATAAAAAAAAATTCTAAAAATTTTTAAATGTTGGCTAATTTAATTTTCATAATATAAAACATAAATTTTATTGGACAAACCTTGTGTTCAATTTAACAAATTTATTAAAGTGTTTTGGAGTAAGAGATATTATTTTTGACACAGACAACATTTTTGTATTTTATTATTTTTTTGACACTGACAACTGTCACAATATATTTTTTATTTAAAAAAATTTTTTTTATTTTTAATTAAAAAAATTAAAAATAAAAATAAAAATAGAAATAGACACTCGTAGCAAGTCTGATTATGACTGAAAATTGTGATCTTCAACAGTAGTATGTGTTTACTGCATACACTTGGAGCAGTGGACTTTGATCCAGCTGTTGCATTGAAAATCTGTGACGCAGAATGACAGACTAATCTTATTGTTTTTTTTTTATTTATTTATTTTCTCAGTATTTATACGATTAGAAAATTTATTTTGTCAGCAGTAGATGTTAGCTATCGTTTGATGTTAAAAAAGAGTGGGAAGTACAGAAGAAGTTCTACTTGTTTAACAGGTGGCGCTTTTGATGCGCAGAAGGTTATGCGCAACTAAATAAAATGCGGACAATATTTGAATTGTGACAATACTAAAGTTAGCCGACAGTTTTAATTGTTTAATTTTTTTTATTGAATTAGAACAAAAAAATATTTTTAAAAAATTGCATTTACAGTTTTTAAAGTTTTTTACAAGTGAAATTTTTTTTTTTATTTTTTTGTAGTAATTCAATAAAAAAAAATTCCAAACATTTTTAGATGTCGGCTAACTTAATTTTTATTGAATTGTGAGTTAATACATATAAGTAACATGATACTAAAGTTAGCTGACAATTTTTTTAATTTTTATAAAAAATCAATTACAATAAAAAAAATAATTTTCACTAGTAAATTTTTTTAATTTTCCCATGTGAAATTTTTTTCACAATAATTTCATTGTTATAAAATTAAAAAAAAACTTCTAATATCAGTCAATTTCAGTGTCATTAATATAAGTTAACTTTAATTATTTCTCTTGATAATAACTAATAACTTGTTAATCATGATTTTTATTATTAGTAAATGATTGTCGAAGAAATAATTTTTTAATCTTTAAAGTTTTATAGTAACATTATGAGACTTATCAATGAACGTCAAATAAAAATGATGTGATGAGCCTAAAAATTAATTGTGATTTTTTTGTTAAAAAAAAAAATAATTTTTAAACGCATTAAAATATTGAAAAAATTGGTGAAAATAAATATTAGAATTTACGGTCTTATTCAATAAAATTTATTTAATAATTATTTAAATAATGAAAATTAAAAAATGTTAAATGATAATTTATTTTAAAAATAAAACTAATATTATTTGAAAAATATTTTTAGACTGTTTCGATTTTAACGTGTTTAAACTACAATTTTTTAATCAAAATTTTCTATTAAAAACTTTTTTATCAAGAAAAATTAATTTAGAAAATAAAATATAAATATAATTCTGGCATTTTACTTGTAACTCATAACCATAATTCATGTACTTAATTATAAAGTAGACTACTTATTAATAACGCTGCTTCAAATTAATATTTTTACATTTTAAATCTCTATCGATTGATCATAAAAAATAAAACATTACTGATAATTTATTAGTCTATCGTCTCGTTAAAAATAAATTGATTTTATAGCCAATTGTACTTTAGTAGTATTGTTATTTGAGAAAATGGATTTTCTGTCAAAATTAATTTTCCACAATAATACTTTATCCATTTGTTTCCAACGAAGACCTTTTAATCCTGGAAACAACGGTTCTCCATGATCGTCAGTAGCTTCATCCCACCCTCGCTCTAGAGAATCAACAAACCCAGCTTTTGCCGCGGTTTTTTGGGCCAGCAAAGAAGAAAACATTGTTGAAGTTACTGATATGTTGTATGTCTCACCGACTTTTTTTCTGCAAAATTTACACAAAAACTATATTTTGTGGAACAATCTTAATGATTCATAAGTTCTCACATAAGTTACGATGATAATTATGATATTAAGTTATTCTATGAATCATGAATATGTTGATAAGTTTGAGAATATTTAAATACCTGGTTAATAAAAGATGAGTGCCTAATCCCAGACGACTGTAATGCGGATTTATGTCCAGCCCAGTGCCCGTTAAAAAATAATCAACTCCGTATCTTTCACATGGATCCGCTTCCCCGGCAGCATTTTGTACATAATTTATTATTTTCTGAGTTTTTACCATGTCGCTCTGAATAAAACAAATTTAATAATTATTAATTACTGGTTATTTATTGTTATACGAAAAAAATTACAGTTTAAAGTACAACTTATAGAAGCAGAGTTTTCCGAGCAAAAAAACTGAAAAATTTACAGAATTTTTAAAAAAATCTAAAAGAAGTAATTTTAAAATCTGTGAAATTATATTAAAAATTTTTCAAATCAATACTTTGGATTTTATTTTATAAAAATTTTATTTTTTTAGTTTTTTGGTCGGAGTTTTTTTTATTACTTCAGAAACTGTCATTTTTTAATTATTTTTTTCACAAATATTTTTAATTATAGTTACCGTAATAGGTCTTTTTATTTTACTCGTATCTTTGTCAATTACTCTCAGAATATTTAGCCCAGCCAATACAGGCACTTTGTTGTTTTCAGTAACATCAAGTACGCAAATAGAAATTCCTTGATTGATGCCCGTTTTTCAAAATGCACGATTGTAAGCCACTGATGCTGGATCATTTTTACTACGTCTGAAAAAATCAAATTTTGTTATGTTATTAACATTTTATTTTAAACTGATGTTTTGATATCCATTATTTTTAAGTTTAAAATTTTTCATTTTTAATTAAATAATTATAATTACTAAACTATGAAATTCATGAAGAAATATTACTCACCAAGACTCATACGCATATCTTCGTATCTCAGATAATTATCACACAAATGATCTAAAGCTTCTTCGTATCGATCTTCTGGTATTTCTTGAATAACAAACCGTAACTTTTTTCCAGCTGCATTTATGATTTTAGAGGACGAGACCAAACCATGTCTGTTTTTAGAGAACAACAATCTTCACTTTCCGACAAAACTAATTCGAAATTGTATTTTTTTACGTGAAATTGAGCTGTTTTTTAATCCAAAAATAACCGGTTGATAAGAAAAATTTTGTTGTTCCAAATGCGTACAAAGACAATTTATTACATTCAACTGATCACAAGTAAATATGATTCATAAATATTATAATTGAAAAAATTTTATTTTTAGATCGTTCTTTCATAGTAAAAAATTTATCAATTTTTATGTTCGAAAAAATTACGTTGTGAAATATTAGATAAATTTATATTTTTAAAAAGTACAGAATTGATAAAAAAACTTAATTGAAAAAAATTTGACATCAATTTTTAATGTCAACCATTATTCAAGTGCATTTTTTTAATTATAAACATATGATTACTTTTACCATAAAAAAAAAAAAAAATTAAAATAAACATTTTAAAAACCGTAACAATTAATCTTTACTAATTATTTTACTATAGTCGGATAATTTCATCCTTTAACATAATTAAATAGCTTACAGTATATATTAACTACCATTAATATTATTTAAAAATTAACATAATTATTGATTAAAAAAAAAATCTTGAATCAAGAAAATCATTTTGAAGAGTTTCACTGTTTTGAATCAAGCAGAAAAATTCTTTTACTAAGAAATTCATCTTCAGTCAATTAAATTTTTCCTAGTTCAAAAATTTTTCTGCTTGATTCAAAACAAATAAATTCTTCAAAAAAACTTTCTTAAATTTTTAAGTCAATGTTTTTTATCAGTGTAGGCTTCACTTATCTTCCTACTTTTCGAATATTAAATTTTATTTTTGTTTATAGTAAATATTATCAATTTTTGTTACATGGGTATTTAATTTATAAAAAATCCTTAAATAGTAATTAGCATTAAAATGTATTAATAGTCTTCTTTTAATTATAAATATCTCATAATTAGCCTATAACTAGGCCTTATTACTCAAAAACAATTTTCGGCAAAAGTTTATGTTGAACTCAATGATGTAAAATATCATAACATTGAAAGATCTTGAATTTTTTAACAATCCACTACGGTAAAAGACCCCATTAGTGGCGGGGACCCCATTACTGACACTTTCTTTGATTTTGGTACTTATTCAGTTAATGAAATCATTAATTTTAATAATGAATATATTATTTCTAATCTTTAAGACCTTTAGATCAAAAAAATTATTAATTTTTATTCCAAGTAGAACATTTTTTCATTGAAAGAAAAAGTGCCACTAATGGGGTCTTTTACCTTAATTATTTTGTTTTCAAACAAAATATATAAAGGTTTCTTTAGAAAAAAAAAAAAACTTTTTTTGGATTAAAGCGCCGGTGATATTGCTTTAATACAATAAATTTGCTTTACAAAATTTCAGGCTCAAAAAAATAAAAAATTTTTTTTAATTTACCATTTTTCATAAAAAATTCAATTAACTAATTGTAAATTTAATGAAAAACTGCCTGATCATTTTAAATATAAATAAAAATAAAAATGATGAAATGCGACAGAATACAAACTTTATTTTGAAATAATTAAAAAAATATAAATGCAAATGAGATTATAGAACAAATTGGCAATCTACAAACGTAAAAGGCATTACAATTTAGTCGGACAGTGTCAAAGTCAATCTATCTTTAATTTATTTCCATTCCAACGTAAATTTAACTGAGAATACAGTCGTGTCGTAGTACAAATTGAGTCATCGATTCGACCTCTTCATTACCATTTACCCTAGTAGTACACTACTATTATTCTATTTAGCATTACAGCCCAATCCAATAATAATGCACTTCTGTCATTACTCAAATTAACGTCAATACCCTTTATCTCTGTCTCTGTCTCGGCGGTATCGCGTAATTTTTGATTATACTTCCCACCAAATACCCGATATTTAATCCTTCAACTTTCATTTCTTTTGATCCCATCATTACAAGATGTTTAAATGTATCAAAAGCGATGATTAGCTATTGTATTGTCTAAGCGATATTTAATTACAGAGTATCTGAATTACACAATGTGACAGTATGCTCAATACTGAACGTACACTTGAGTTTGAGACGTTGTATTTAGTGTGGATCAGTGAAGTGATATCATTGTCCTTCATGAATTGTAGTAGTTCACTGAGCAGAGCCAGCTGCGCTAGAAGATAACGCACGTCACCTACAAACCAATGTCCTTTACCTAAGTCCCACATGTGCTTGTTCAAATTCCAGCTCAAGATTCACTTCAGTAAATATATACTATTGTATTCTTTGAATTATTTTTTTTTTTAAGTTATATACATACACTTTCTTTGATTCACACTTTGAACAAAGTCTCAAAGGTGTTTAATGAAAAATTTCAGACATTAATTTAAACTTCCAAAAAATTGGAAATTTTTAAAAAGTCAAATTTCTTAAAATTTAGTTCTATTTAATAAGATTTAGTAATAAATACTAAATGATTTAGTAACAAACCTTTCATTACCAAATATTTAGTAATAGGTACTAAATAATTTATTGAAGCCCATTTAGTTCCACCAAATAAATATTTAGTAGTATTTAACAAATGATGATTTATTGGTACTCAATATATCATTTATTAAATGATTAAAATAAATAATTTTAAGTAAAAATATAAAGTATTATAAAGAACAGACTCTCATTAAATTATATTTTTTTGTCTGAGACATTTATAAAATTTAAAGTTAAACAATTTTTTAACATCAATAATAGACAAATTGAAAAATGTGAACTAAACTCCACTGAAAAAATACATAAATAGAAGCCATTTATTGGAAGTATGTATGTTTGTAAAGGTTTGATAAATCTCCCAAAATCGAGCAGAATAAAATAATCTGAGTCAGTGAATAAGTTATGTATCACATAAACATTGGAATTCAAGCATAGCCATCTACCGACAATATTTACCAAAGAAATATTTAGTACCTGTTACTAAATATTATTTGGTGGAAATAAATATTTACTTTCATCTTATAAGGCTTTGTTCATATAAAGAAATCATTTATTAAACTGTAACAAATAATATTGATGGGTACAAAATATTTGTTTCATCCAAATAAATGAATAAAAATTTTGTTACTAAATCAATTTAGTACTCCGTACTAAATCCTTCTATCAGTGCATCAACAGAGTTGTTAGATTTTGAAAAAAATAAAATTTTTTATTCAAAATAACTTTTAGATTTTTTGGTAAAATAATTTTTAAAATTTACTGTTCAAAAATGATCCAAAAAGTGTTTTTTTCAAAATTACTTCCAAATTTTTGAACAAAATTATTTTTGAAACCTGGCAACTTTTTGGGCTTAAATAATTTTCTAGTTTTTCACAACTGATCAATTTTGTTACTGGTTAAATTATTTTTTGTTGAAAAATTGTAAAATGTCGCAAACTGTATTAAAATTTATCTGTATGTTAAAAAAATGCACTCAAATTTTTTTTGAAAATAAACATTAAATAAATATAAAATCAAATTCTTTGAAAGCTTTAGTATTTAATACAATATTTTTGAACACTCCAAGTTAAAAAAAGAACCACAAGTTTCAAAACTAGTCTGTAAAGCCATTCATCAAATTTATTTAAAACTAATATTTCCAAAAAATAATAAACCTTGCTTTTAATGAAGTCAGTAGTTTCCTTTATTTAACTAAAAATACTATAGCTTATAAGCGTGAGACACAACCTTGTTTCTTGATCAAATAATTCAAAACCCGATAATAATAATTTATGAATTTCTACCATAATATATACAAACACCTGAGTCTTTCCGATAAGAAAAAACTTTTATCTCATGAAACTTGATTTAAACTTCCGCAGACCGGCGATAAAATAAAACTAAATAACCCGTGTAAGTGAAGTGTAAAAGTAATCGTTTGAATCCAGAAACCAATTTAGAGTACTTTATCACCAATTTCTTGTTTCGCACTCGGGTTAACTTTTTTCCAATATATAATCCACTCTTGCGCACAGCATCCGCGAAAGTTGTCCGAGATTTGTTGAGGATGCTTCAAATAGTCACAGTGTATCATCAACGGGGTACCTCTGCGGTACCGCCATGGCGAAAGATCGGCCGGAAAACTTTGAAAATCGCGTTGATACTGCTAAAAAAGAGCTGCTGTTAATTGTCCAAAAAATTGACGACCTTTGCTTGACGACAAAAGCTGCTAAATCCTGGGATGTTTACAATCAATTAAAGGGTTCTATGGTAAAATTTTCTGTGAAACGCAAACATATTTTTCTACTGGGTTTCATCGCTTGGATTTTTTATTATTTTGTCAAAAGTCACTTCAGTGATCTTCAATTTCAAAAGGTATTTTTTTTTATAAATTTTCTATTTGATTTGTTATTAATTGAATGATTTAATTTATCCAGTGCTTGATTGAGCCGCCAGATATTTTCCAAAAGATTTTTCGGCCCGCTGAAGATTGTTCCATATGTCAGAGTATCCAGCAGGTTGAAAAGCTTGCTAATATTGATCCTGATTTTTTTGAACAGCGGTAATATCGTTTTACACTGCAACATTTTTCTTTTTTGATTTAATTACTGATAAAAAAAATTATTTTTTCCACAGTTATGCATACTCTGGCAAGCCGGTGGTAATAACAGATGCTACTGTGAATTGGACGGCTGCACAATTGTTTTCGTTTTCATTTTTCAAATCTCTGTACCATGGCCGAGCTGCTAATTGCCAATTTTTTCCATACAAAACTGGGTTTAAGAGTCTGCAAGATGTCTTCAATATGAGTGAAGATAGAATTCTTTTGAAACCTGGGTCAGAACCTTGGTATGTTGGCTGGTAAGTATTCAAAAATATTTTTAATCCAAAAATGTTTACCTATACAGTAATATGTTGCTCGTCAAAAAAAAATTTTTGATTCATTAAAAATTTCACATAAAATTCAGATTTTTAAATAAATATAACTTCAAAATAAAATTGGTATTAAAACTCTGTAATTAAAAAAAAAAAAAAGTAGGAGAAATAAATAACAAGTCAAATTTCATGAATTTTTTTTATATTTATTTATTTTACATCCTCGGCAATTTTACAAAAAAAAATTACAATTGTTACATATTGAAAAGTGTTAAGTATTATACTAAATTAATAACAGACATAATATCATAATCCCTAATTCATGATCCCTTAAAGAGATCAACCTCCGTAGCAAATTCGTTAATAATCTTGAATATTAGTTAAGTATTTTTTATTGTATTTTAAATAATTTATCTCTTTTATTATAAAAAAAATATTTAATGAAATTTGGCTGACTGATTTTTTATTTTCTAAAATTTTACAATAAAATAATAATTTTAATGAACATTAAGTTAACCAACATCTAAAAATTTTTTTATTAAAAAAATTATTACAAAAAAATAAGAAAAAAAAATTCATCTGTAAAAAATTTGAAAAACTACACGTGCAATTTTTGAAAAATACTTTGTAGTACTAATTACATGATTTAAAAAATATCAAAATATTAAAAACGTCGGCTAACTTCTGTATCGTATAATTTTATGCCAAATTCATTAAAAGTCGTATTTGTTGAAAAATCTGATGAATAAAATTTTTTTTTATGCAAATAGCTGTTCTATTAATCGGAATCCCTTTTTACAAACAGGAGCAACTGTGATGAGAAAATAGGTTCAATTTTACGTCAACACTACAGCAGACCTTATTTCTTACCGACCACTGCAGAAAGCGAGAAAACGGATTGGATTTTCATGGGAAGTCCCGGTTACGGTGCTCCGATGCATGTAAGTGTAAATTATCTGGGCAAAATAATCGATATTTTTCAAACATATGGTTACTTTTCTGTTCTCAAGGTCGATGACGTCGATCACCCCTCATGGCAGGCGCAGTTAAAGGGCTCCAAATTGTGGATTCTCGAGCCTCCGCGTGAGTGTTATTTTTCTTGCAAAAAACTACAAGTTGTCGTGGAACCTGGAGAAATAAGTGAGTTTTTTATTTTAATTGATAACTATTGACAAAAATGGATTTACAAATTGTCTATTTTTTAGTAATACTGGATACAAATCGCTGGTACCATCAAACGAAGATTATCTCTTCTGAGCTTAGTATAACAATTGGCGCTGAGTACGATTAAAGGGTCTATCTTTCATGGAATAACTCCGAATTTAAAATTATATATCCATATATTTTTATTTCAAGTACCCGTATTTATAATCTTTGAAACAAACATATTTTATTCCAAAGTTATTTCATTATAAAATAAATATATATATTTAAAGTTTGAAAATTTTTTATTTATTTATTTAGAAATTATCTATTAATTTTTGATTTTTTAAACAAGTATTAATTGCATTAAAAAACTTTAGAATTTGAAAAAAAAATTACTCTTATTTACACAAATAAATAAAAAAATAATTAGATGGTGGATAAATTCTATTAGAAATAAGAAAAGTCCTAAATTATTTTTTTCTTTACAATAATATTTACCAATAATTTTTTCATCTCTTGTGATAGTCATGACTTGTAAAATTAAAAAATGACATCCATTTGAAACTAAAAATTTTTTTTAATTTCCTGTGATTTATTGAAAATTTTCAATTCAATTCAATCTTTATTGTATCAAAAGTTCTTTATTTTTCTTTTTCTTTTTTAATTTATTTTTTTTTCTTCTTTCTTGTCAATTTGTTTAAGTGGATTCCAAATTCTTTTATGTAAATATTGGTTCTTTATATTACTTTACACTATTATATGTAAATAATCTCTATAATTGCCGAGTGGAGTTTTAAATAAACAAATAAATTAATAAATAAAAAAGGACATAGTCCTACACACAAGGAGTTTGAGATATAAGTAGATACTCAAGTAAAAATTTAAATTTATGAGCATGTAAAGCAGAAAGAAATTGAAAATTGAAAAGATTTATTGAAAATTTTGAATAATCACAAATTAAAAATTAATTCTAATTAAAATAAAAATTTCTAATTAATATAAAATGACATATTTTATAAAAATGATTTTTCACTTATCCGCACATATTATCCCATCAGAATACAGAATATGTAATTTATAATATAGAGTATGATGTATAATGTTTCTTGAGAACAGGAAGGATCGTCTATCTATTGGCAATGACGCGTATGTCCCAACGTCCCTAATTATGTCACGTGCCTAACGTGTATGTACAGTGGATAATATAAAGCAAGAGGCCAGAAGGGCACCGACAAGGATATTGAGGCGACAGAGGGAACGAATATATGTGGTTCACCCGGCTTCGATATCTAAACCCTCTATGCGTGGATGTAAACCATATCCATCCACATTCATGTATGTGTGTGTGTACATTTACACCTACACCTCTACTTATCCACACATGGACAATATACATACACACATACGGGCGGATCTGGATACCATGAAGAGGAAACGGTTCTATGGCACGGGCCCCTCACGCAGATGGTCCTTTCCCCTGACACCTGGCGGCAGGTGAGCTCCCAGGGAGTTATATTGCCCCTACGTCTTCTTAACTCCCTAAACCTAAAAAGTTCCGTTCGTTCATTTCTTCGTGTGTCTTTCTTTGCCATGTGGTCATATGTTCTATCATATGTTTTGCTCACACACACTCACATATCATCAGTTTACCTGGATTGCTGTGTTTATGTTTTACTTTACAGTTCACAGTGCATTGTACATGTGTTTTGATAAAAGTGACATCAATTAGAAGCTCAATAATCCAATTTACATTTAAACTTCTTCTTCATTTTAATCCTTCTTCTTTTATTATCGATTTTTTCTGATCTCGCTTTTGTAGATCCGACAATAGTGAAAAGATCAACAAGATTGGCCCTTTAAAAATGACTGCTGGCAATATTTAGCGTGTGGGTCTTTCGATGAATGAATTATTGATTGTATTAAGAGATTTAGATCGAGCCCACACACTCACGGCCCGTGTCTTAGGTAGAGACCTATTTTGAACCACGTGCTAAGACATAATTATGGATATTGATTTTCCTGCGAGCCACTGGGGGCTGGTTTTAATGTATGTCTGTATATGTACATGCACTTTGTATTATGCACTCTAGATTCTAACGGAAATATTTTGTTTATTTTATTCTTTATTTTGTACAAGATTCTATGGGTTATTGGAGGTAATATTTTTTACTGCTGGGTTTATTAAGGAGGGTAAGTTGCTTTGGGTTTATTGTGGAGTTTTATTGTTAATTCCGGAGTTTTAAATATTTGTAAAAGATTTTAAGATGAAAATTTTCTTACATTTTAGTTAATAAGTTAATTAATTAATATATATATTTTTTTTTTTACAATTGTAAATTGACCATATTAACAATATTTTAAATGACAATTCTTATTTCTAATGACAAATTTTAAAAAAGAAGAATAAAAATAATTTTTTATGCTAGGAAGGAATACCGACTAAAAATTATAAATAATAGTGCAATTTGTAAAATGCAATAGACTAGATCGCCAATAATAATTGTATATATAGTCAATTTACAATTGTAAAAAAATTTATATTAAAAATATAAACTAGTCTTTAGAAACAAAAATATTGTTAATTAATTAAGTTAATAATTAATAGATTTTTTAAAAAATCTTAAAGATTAATTGCAATAAAATTTAATTTTTTTAATAAAAATTTAATTTGGATCTTTTTAAATTCAACATAAAATTTTTTTTTTAAATAACTCAAGCTTTATTGAAATAATTGTCATTTTTTTTATAAACAATCAATGATATAGGGTAGAAGTACCGTTTTCGGCCAGTTAACATTTGAATTAATTTATAAAAAATTATCATATTTTTATTGAATTTAAAAAAATTTATGTTAAAACAAATTGAATTTGGTTTCTTAATATAAATTCATTTCTATCGTTTATTTGAACAATAAATGGCCATAAATAGTACAGTAGTCACAAACGATACCTCTACCCTAATTATCAATCAAGTTTTTATGTTTAAATCATTTTTAGATGTTTAATTTTTTTATCGCAAGTTAATGCTGTAATTAGTGTATATGTTTTTAATGACAAAAAACTAATAAAAAAACAAAGTAAGAATAAATATTTGCGGAAAAATTTTTACATTAAAATATTTAAAGTTATTGTGTAAGTTTATTATTTGTGCTATTATAAGATTCAAATGTTTTTTTTTAACATATGTATCAATTTAACAAAAATTTTATAAAATGTAAAATTAAGGCAAAATTTTATAGTTAATTCTATCTTTGTTAATAATAATAAAAAATTAATTAATGAATAATCAAATTTTCTTTTTAAATTGACAAAAATTAAAATAAATATCCTACTTGAATTGATAATTAAAACAAATTAAAACTTAGTAATAAAAAATAAATTATAAAACCCTCAAATTAAATTAAAAGTAACAAGAATCGAGTTTTAATAATCAAAAATCTCTGAATAAACTATTCTCGTTAAACGATAATGATTTATAAATAAATAATCGGTGATAAAATATTTAATATCTAACCCAAAAAAGTTTTACTGAATCCAATAAATAAAATCATAACAACGAGGATTAAAATTGAATACCATTGTGATAGTTCTATTCATTACCATAAAGTTGTATAAAATAAAATCTAATAAATTTAGGAGAATTGAAACAAAACCAAAGTGAGTAAGAAAGTTTGCACATCCGGTTTATAAATAATAAATATATTGTTAAACACAATACATAATATAAAGCTGTGCTAAGTGCTCTTATTTTTTTCTAGTAGTTTAAATACATCTAGATCATACGCTTCCATGCATGCAACAATAATAGTAATAATAATCGCAACATAACATAAAATACCATAAATAGTAATAGTATAATATAAATATATACAATATAAAGCTAAAGAATATATGTACATATAATTCGCGATTTGTATGTTATATTATGTACTAGTACATCGTCTCGACTTGTCGTCATGCGCATTTTATCCTCCTTCTCATACAGTTGTCATACAACATACAAAGTACAACATATATGTAACATCTATATCCATATATACATATAAACAATACAGTTACACAGTTATAGTAGTGTCCGTCGCAAGTTGCAAGTACATACAACATACATATCGGTCGTACTATCGATTATTTCGCTCATATTAAATTTTCCCCTATTAAATGCTTGACAACCCCTCCACTCAGCAGCCCTTCACTCCAAGTATAGAACGATATATCGACGCTACATCACAGACTTTTATTTTATGTTTTATATAAATATTCTCAGCATCTAAATAATTTTTTTTTACAAAAATACATCTAATTAATAACTTTTTTTTTAATAATAATAATAATAATAATAAAAATATTAATAGTTAAATCAATATAAAAATTTTCAAATTTTTTACTTTAATTCAAAGTTTAAAATAAATAATTTTAAAAATTAATTTTCAAGAAAAAATTGATAAAAAATTTTTAAATAACAACAATCAAGAGTTCGGGGCTCCGCAATGTTGATTTCGTTCCTGATTCCACCCCTAGCTCGAGCACGACCACCTTACCCCTCCGGGCGTCCCTTCAACCCCCTGTGTATCGAGTTCGTTACAGATCCCCGTGTAAGATCGGCCCCTCTTACCCCCCAGCCCGAGCCCCACTCCTGTTCACGTCATCGCACCTCGGATTTGCGCAACTCGGAACATTTATTTTGACTTTAAATGCTCCATTCGACTAAAATTTCCACAAACTTTAATTACCCATAAAAATTAACCTCTCGATTTACTGAAGTAAACTTTCGAGCTAAAAAACTCGAAAAATTCGGAAAAATTAGGGGTGGAAAAAAAGTTTGTAAATTTGCGGGAAAAATTTAGTTTGGGCGCGTGCGCTCGTTTATTGCGCCACGCATAGACAACGGAAGGAAGACAGAAGAATAACTTACACAATCGCACACATCAACATACATATATAATATATATATATATATATATATATACTCGTAATGGGTGAAATGGGTAGAGGGGTGTAAGCGTCGCGCGTGCAGACAAGAGAGTAAGACTTGGCGCAGCCTGAATTCCTTTTCGCGCTATACGGATTCGTCTTCTCTTGATTTTACATAGTGACCGTGAATTATCTCTAAGAAAAATCAATTGTAATTTATTTATTATCAATTATTTATCATTATTACTATTATAATAATCAATAATAGTGATAATAATATCAGTTAAGAACGGCTGGACCGTTTGACAGCGGTATCGAAAGTGACGCAGCGCCAAGCAGCCATTGATTTTATTTATTGACGCTTTCGCGTATTCTATTCGGTGCTTTATAACCATTGATTGGGATTCCGTCGACAAGTTAGTTACCGGCAGCCCCCTCGCAAGTGATAATACTATTGATAATTTTATTAATTATTCTTTATTTAATTATTTAAATACCAAGTGACTTTTTTAATAAAGTGCTAGTGACTAAAAAATAACTTTAATTATATATTATATTATACAGAGTTAGTTTAAATATTAATAATATATGTACGCATACAAGAGAAATTATTGATTAATTGATGCGAGGGATGAATTTATAGCGACGGTAAAAATGGCGACAGTAATTGATTCTCAATTGACGTTTGATAAATTTTCAAAGTCTTTTATTTATAAAATTACGTGTGTTAATTTTAAAATTTTTTACTCACAATTATAATTATTATTATAATTGTACAATTATATAAATAGTGCAAGAGATTTATTAAAAATATTATTTTTCGGATTAATTTATTAAATAAAAATTTGTGAAAAATAATTAATGAAAAATCTTGTGAAATAAGATTGTGTTTATGTGGTTTGGTTGTTAAATATCGGCGCATCGAGCTAGTGGTCACGAGGTATCGGAAAATCGATAGAAACCTGACTGACGCGAGTGGTGGTGGTGGAGGCGGAGAAGGTGCCGGGTGGGTGTTTGATAAAACGCTCAGTAGGGGGTGAAAGTTAGACCAATTTTCATTTTTTAATTAAAAAATTTTCATTTTTTTAACAAATAAAATTTCTAAATAAAAAAAAAAACAATTTAAAAAAAAGTGCGCGAACTGGTTGCTCAGTGATAATGGACAACCCCCCGGTGGAGGACTGAGAATGAGAAAGGAAGAGCTCCGAAAAGAAGCAACATAAAGAAAGAAACAATAGCAGAGCACACCTGGACCAGTTACGCGTACCACGTTGTTTGTAGGGGCGCCTTTGAAGGGCGGACTGTGTCCTGGTGGTGGTGGCGATGGCGGGGAGAGGTGGTGAAGGGGGAGCATCTAACTGGCGGGGTTAAGGGCACTGAGAAAACGCCGGCCAGCAAACTTTAAACTCTCCGTGACTTGCCATCGGGTGTTAGTAATAATTTTCACTAATAATAATTATTATTTTTATTAAATAAAATTAACTTGCATAAATATAAATATCATCAGTCACTTGTTTTCAGTGTAACGCGTGAGCTGTCAGCACTTAAAATTCCAGAGTGTAAAATTTCAGTTGTTTCGTGCGCAAATATTACGAGTGTCACTTGTTTGTGTGTCATGAATCCACATTTCGCGGGATCACAAAGGATGCTCGACTGTTTTTCGCAAGTACTTCATCAGTGTTTAATAAGTGATAATTTTTTTTATCCAATTGTGCGGGAAGTTGACAGTGTTGATTAATTATTAATTATTTTATTATTTTATTAATAATTGTTGTTGTTATTTATTGTTTAAGTTTGATCCGGTATAAAGTGACTCGGAGGTTGAACAGTGGCGGGATAATAGTTGGTGATAACGATAAGGGTGGCGTTAGAGTCTATGTCCAGTGGGTTAGTGATAAAACCGCGGGAAGACAGTGAATAGATGTTTATAGATGGAATGGAAATTAATTTAGCAGACATTTATTAATTTTTTTAACAAATAAATCATAGCAAAAAAAATTGATTATACTGAAGTTGACAGACATTAAAAATTATTTTAGAATTTTATAATAATTACAATATTATAAAAAAAAATTCAATTAAAAAATTCCATATGTGCAAATTGATAAAAATGACAAGTGACAATTTTTAGAAGCATTTTTTTATTGTAATTGATTTGTTATTTAAATTTTTAAAATTGACAGCTAACTTCAGTATTATAAAAATTGATAAAATGGAAATTAATTTAGCAGACATTTATTAATTTTAAAAATGTTTTTTAACAAATAAATCATAGCAAAAAAAAATTGACATGTAGAAATTTTAAAAAATTAAACATGCAATTTTTTTAAAATAATTTTTCGGAAGAAATTTGATATTAAAAAATTGTCAAGTGACTGCTAACTTTAATGTCATGTAGATGGAAGGAATCGGGGAGCACCATACCGAATTAGTCGACTCTCCGGATGGGAATTGCGGAGACCTCGGTGATGCAACCGAAACTGTCATTATCAACATCACCAGACGGCACAATAACAATAATAACCATCACCACCACCATCACAACAATAATAATAATAATAATAACAATAACTACAACAACAATCACCAGCAGTACGAAGCGACCCGCGGCGGCGTCATCAGTAACTCGGGAGTTGGGACAGAAAGTGGGGGAGAAAGTGGAAACTCTGGTATGTCGTCCTCGGCATCACAAAGTCCGGACATCGGGTGCGCGAGCATCCCTCTGGAACTACTCGCGGGCGGCGCGCTCGGCGTCAAGGAGGAAAGAGACCTCGCGGGCGCTGAGGATTTGTCTTCGTCGCAGGAGCCACCGGGTAGGCCTCACGCGAGGGAGAGTCTGTCGGTGATAGTGCCGCCCCAGGACGTCGACTGTGATTCTCGGGACGGTGACTCGGAGTTGTTGAGTCCGGGGAAGTTGACGCCGACATCCGGCATAAGTGTTTCCGTCGCGAGCATGATTGACGCGACGGACTTCAGGTCGATGCAGCCGGAGCCGACCTACCAGACGCTGACCTCAGTTGCTGAGAGGATGTCGCCTCCAGGATTTTCACCGGGGTCCTCCTACGCAACCCTGACTCCGCTCCAGCCCCTTCCGCCGATTTCTACCATGAGTGACAAGTTTGTGTACGGCGGACACGCGGCCGGCGGAGTCTCCGGGAGCTTCGCGGTCATGCAGAACAACGGCCTCGGGAACATCGGCCTCGGGATGGGCAGCTCGCCCTACACCTACGACAAGCTCCCGCCGATGGGGATGTCTCCGCCGCACAACTACCCATCGCCGGGAGCTGGACTCCAGCCGAGTCCTCTGTCTCCTCAGAGCGCGTACAGCCAAAGCGGACTCAATTCTCCGCACAAATCCGCGAGTCCGCACTACGAGCCGGCTTTTCTCCCCAGGCTCCAGCAGAGTCCAGCGGCTCTTAGTCCACCCTCGCCTCCGGTTTCGGCGGCCACCAGTTTTGCTCCCTCGCATCACTCGCCTCCGACGCTGACGGTTCCCGCGGCCTCGCCGCCGCCGATCCAGCAACAGCAGATCCAGCAGCAGCAGCAGCAGCAGCAGAATATCCAGCAGACGATATCTCACAGTCATGTCCAGCACACTTCTGTGGTGATGAAAACGGTCTCAGCCGCTGGAAATGGAGCTACTGAGGTCGAAGAGATCAACACCAAGGAACTCGCTCAGAGGATCAGTGCTGAGTTGAAGCGCTACAGTATTCCCCAGGCTATTTTTGCTCAGAGGGTGCTGTGTCGCAGTCAGGGAACTCTTAGTGATCTTCTCAGGAATCCAAAACCCTGGTCCAAGCTCAAGAGCGGCAGGGAAACTTTCAGGAGGATGTGGAAGTGGCTTCAGGAGCCAGAGTTTCAGAGAATGTCGGCTTTAAGGATCGCAGGTTAGTTTTATACCTTGGTTTTTTTTTTTTTACTTTTTTTTACGCATTCTTGTGTGGTTTTTATCAGTGTTGATTATTATTATAATATATATATTTTTATATCACTTATTACTTTGTTTAGAAAGTCACGCACCTATAGTCGCTTTTTTTTGTTGGTTTATATATTTTTTTTGTTGGTTATATTTAAACACCCGCACGATTAGTATCAGGCTCGGCGGACCGTCAAATGATGTTTTTTTTTTTTGGTTTTAAATTGGGTAATTAGGATTGTGATACTAAAAGAAGCAGGAGGTTGATAGTTTTTTTAGACTTTGACGATTAAATGGGACTTTTGTCGTGTGGAGATTAAATTTATTATTAATTTTAATTAAAGTTTTGGTTATATTTAATAGATTAATGAATAATACAAAAAAACTAAAAAAAATTTTTTTAATGGCTTGTTGAGAAAAATTTTTTAAATTATCGTATGGCTGTTGATTCTCAGTGTCATATATAAATTTTAAACTCATGTTTATTTACGAGGTTTAAAATCGAGTTATTGCTTCTAATGAAATATTTTTAAGCAAAAATTTATAAAAATTGAATAGTCGAATGGCATAAAAACAATTATTTTAATTATTCATGAAAAAAAAAAAAAATAAGTAAAGTAATTCAGTTAATATCATACCGTAATAAATATGTAAAGAAATTTACAAAAATATTTTATATAATAATTTTGATCAAGTTTACTTCAACCTAGGTGGTTTTTTTCAATTTTTATTGTAATCATTAATTAAAAAAAGTAATTCACTAAATTGAAGTTACTGACACGTCCAAAAAAAGTTATTAACTCTAGAAATTTTTTAACTCAAAAAAGTACTTGATAATAACTGTGATTATGGTTAAAGTAATACTCTTAAAATTTCGTGTTAAAAAAATGTTAACTTCGACTAACACTTTTTATTAATTTTCTTTATTTAAAAATTTTTATTCACATTTAATTGCTCGAGTATTTCAAGCATTAATGTATACTTTAATTCTTTTTTAATCGACTATTTTTTTAAGCTCCATAATTATCAAAACTCTGCTAATTTTAGTATCATAAAACCAGCAGACACCGGCAATCATTTGGTTTTTTAAATTAATTAAAAATTTAAAAAATTATGGTACTGAATTTTGCTTTGAAAATATTTTTAAAAAATTGTATTAATAAAATTTAAAAATTTCTTCAGGTGAAAATTTGTGTCAATTTATCGTTTAAAACAAACCCTGAATACAGTATCATAAAATAGAGTGTTTAATTAATTTAAAACTCCAAAATTGTCGCAAGTCTGCTATAACATAATTCAGCTGAAAAAAATAAAACAATCTGTGACTTGAGTGGTCAATAAATAAAAAAAAATTAAAGATAGTTATAGTTATAATTAATAACTCGGCGAGGATTAAACACCGAAACAAAATCGTGATACAAATAAATTCCAATCCAATAGTACTGATGTAATGATCAATAAAAGGAATGAAAAGTGATTTGCTGTGACATAATAAGTTATGCGAGGTAAGGGGTGTAAAAAAAGTAAAAGGAAAGAAAAACATTAGCGCACACGTGGTACCCACGTGGAGAGGCGTTCCCTTCCATATCATTCAGAGATAGACGCGCGGAATAACACTTTTCGAATTCACCATCCTTCGGTTTAGTTTGCCAAGTCCCTACCCCGAAACTCTGGCCTTCTCTTTCTCTTTTCGGTGGTCTTTACTTGTATCTGTCTCTCACACTGCATACTATATTCAATACTACACATGGACAATCACCTACACATGGATAGTGCTTAATACAGGCAACAATATTCACGCAGTATTGATCGCGGTCACGTGCGCTCACAGATAACAACGCAAGCGCGACCTCAACGTACAGTATAGACAACGCCATCGCCATGCTGCCGCCACGCTGCTTTTTACCCACCCGTCATCCCCTCATCCGGTTCTCACTTGCTCAAAACCTGTCTAAGCCTTATCTCTCTATATATTTTGTATAAATACTACAACTACTTACACTAGGGTAGAATACACGTCAATGTATTAATTCAAAGGGTATTTTCTACTAAAACTTTTCTCACAATTATTATTATTATTATTATTAATTTTTTTGTAGCTCTACTTTCTCTTATATATACAAAAATTTAATTATTTTTTCATGTTTAATAAAAATTATGTCAAAAAATCAAATTATATTGTTAACATCATCTGTGTCAAAATATACACATGTAATTAGTTATTGAGTACTTGAACTTCGGGCATTAAAACAATTAGATAACTAACCGCGAGAATATTAACTTCAAAAATAATTATTTTATTTAATGGTTTTCTGTACTTACAATAATAATGTTAATATTGTTTTGTATGCTCTCTCAATAAGTTTAAAACTAATCAACAAAACTTTGCATGTTTTGAAAACATAATATCTAATTATTTAAACTGTTGAAATACTCAATAACTAAGTGTAAAATATATAATATATCAATACTCGCGTTTAATAGGTCAGATATTACATATTTAAAAAATTAGTTTATTATTTTTTACTACTATAAATTAGATATGATTTGATGGATTATAATTTTTTTAATATTAAATTAGCAAATTTTCAAACTCCGTTCCAAAAAATCTTCCATTTATGCGAAAAAAATGATTAAAAAATTTTTTTTCCTTTAAAATTCAATTCATTATTTACAACATGTATGCATGTTATATTATATTATATTATATATATATAATATGATAATTTTCTAATCAGAACGTTGATATTTATTTAGAAAAATTTATTAAATAATTTAATTTCTCAAACTTCAAAATAAGCTGTGACAATAATATAACAATTTCATAGAAAAATAAAATCAAATTTTGTAACAAACGACAAATGTGCGTGAGTATTGATATATATTGAAAAACAGAGAGAAATTGAAGTAAATTATTTATCTGAGATGAAAAAGTACAAAATAAATTTTTTCAGATACGGAATTACTAATTAGAATCAGTAATTTTTTTTTAATTTACATAAAAGAACCTTTATTAGAAAGGCAAAAAAGTTTACTCAAAAATGAAATCAATTCTATATTAAAATAATTTTTAAAATCACAACAATCACATTTTTTTTGTTCGTTGATAATAAAAATAAAAAAAAAAAAACGTAATACCTCCACATTAATTAAAAGAATCCCAAAGTAATCAAACTTCATTCAGTTACATAATTTTGTAATTTTATTTCACGAACAAAATGTGTATTTTATACGAAAGAAAAAAAAATAATAACAATTAGTAAAAAGATAATTATACATTTTCAAGGACATTGGAATTAGTCCGCTCCAATACGAGAGTCTCGTGTCGTCCTCTACTTACAGCGCGGTTGGTTTTTCCGAGCGGGAAAAAAACCACGAGGGGTTTGAAGGACACGGTTGTTTACGCCGATCCAAGAGCTGAACCTACCCCATGGGCGGAATGGAAGGTCTTGAATCTCATGCGTACCTCTGTATCCACATACACACTAGAGCTCACAATTAAAGAAAGAAAAAAACAAACAAACAAGCATATGATATCTTTACATATTTAAAAGGCATAAATACTTTTTTATTTACCATCACCAGTGGCGTGACGACTACATTTTAAATGATTAGTTAATAGCTTCGCTGACAATAATTATCCATATAGATTAATTTAGCGGTAATCAGGTGTCTCATACTCACACCGGGTATATGTATCACTATACATATTACATATAAGCATAAACCAGTCAAGTAGTCGCGTGTTATGTGCAGTATAGTATTGATCGGCTGAGGGTCGAATGCACCAGTTAGCAAGTCAGGGACTAGACAACTCTTACTTTCCCCAAGGCTTGAAAGTACACTACTTACACTCTACAGTGCTGCACGGTCTTACCCCAATATACGAGGAATCGTACAAATATATAAATATACATTTCACTTAATTAGAAATTTATTTATAAAATGTTTTCTTATCTGTAATCAAATACTCAATAGGCCTATGCCTGTTTTACACAGTTGAAAGTTTTTTTATGCGTATGCTTAAGAAGAACAAAACTATTGTCCAGAGAATAATTTCTTCGTTCAAGAATTTTTTTAAACTAACTTATTAATTTTAAAAAAAATTAATTTTTATTCTTAAATAGAATAAATTTACTGAAATTAAAAAAAAATTATTTTATAAATTTGATAAAATTTTCGGATAAAAACAAATTTTTTTTATGCATGTATTTTTGTTTTGTTATAAAAAAAATTTGAATCAATTTTCGGGGTTATTAAATGTTCAATAATTCTAAGTAAATTCAACATGATTATTCAGTATTGTTTGACCAATTTTTTTTGATACACAAAGACAGTATTTACTACCACAGTAACTCTTTTTAAATTTTTCTATTAAGTCAACAGTAAATTAATTTCAATCAAAATTTCCAATTAATTTGAAAAAAATAAATAAAATTAACGAAATAATCAAATGTATGAATGATTCATGTATTCATGTGTTGAAAAACAACTCAAACAATATATCAAATTCACAAAAGTTACGCGTTGAGCTTAGCGCTTTCTCTTTATTAATACATTATCAGTTAGTGTTTCAAATAGAATCTTATAGTGCATTAAAATTAATGAACTCTCAATATTCTCTGACAGCAACTATTTACTACTCTGGAGCATTAAACTATTAAGACTCTAATATATTAAAATTTGCAATATGTACACCCGATAAAAATCAGTCATAAATTACAATGTAATAAATTAATTTTGGGCATATTTAAGCATATGAATACTAAACATTCTTAAATACAAACTCTTAAATAAATTAATTATTTTAATGATTAAATTTAAATCATAAATTGATTTAATTATTAATATTTATATTTCACTGTTTAATTGTTGCAATTCTCATGTCATTTTATTCATATGGATCAAAAATTTTTCTTAGCATTATTTTGCATTTTATTCTTATCGAATTGATAACTTAATCAACTATGATTCAAATTAAATTTTAACAGCAATCAATTGATTTAAAAAATGTCTTTAAAAATTTTTGAGCGATCATACACAGTAAAAAAAAAATTTTCTTTATTATGTCTAAAAAAGTTTGATGTAAATAAGTATTAAAAACTTTTGTGTTATATGATCTTACAAAAGTGTTCAATCTTAATATCAAAAATTTTGAGTACAAACTTATTTGATATAACGCAATGATGAAAAATCTGTTATTGTACATATATTCAGACATGCCCAAAAATGAATGTATGACTATGGATGAAAAATCAGTATTGTGTTCTTACAAAAAGTTTTTACTGTGTAACAAAAGAAAAAATGATTGGCTCTAGGTGTTTCAACAATTCAATTGCTGAATCACCAAAAAAAATTGACTAGCAAGTTTAATAAAACTTTTGGCCGTTAATATACAATCATATAGAGAAATACAAATACAAATACAAATACACATATATGTACAGAACAGTTAATGTGTCTAAAGTGACATTTATGGTCTCCAACTGGCATGACTAAACCTGGTGCTACCCTGTGTCAGCGATGGACGTTACGTGCACAGAACTGGCGTAAAAATCAATACGAACCCTGTTTTGTCTCGGTTAAGAGTTTGTAGCCAAGTTGTGCTTTACCTCCACCTCCTACAACAACTCCTCCACCTCAACCTCCGCTCCCACATCCACATCCACAACCACCCTCTTTCTCCAACTCAAACTCCACGTCATCCTCCAGCACTAGCAGCACCTTGGCCCTCCTCGCCTCCCTTTCCTGCTGCTACTCCAGCTACCGCTGCTGCTACCTTGGCTTTTGTGAGGTGAAAAGGCTTGACAATTGCATGAGGAGGGTAGAGGGTTGGGGCAGGGGAAGTAAAACTCTACTGCCTAGCCTAGGCGTTATTGCTGAATGCTATAACATCCATCTTCGTAGAAACAGGTTAGATTGTATAATGCACCAGTATTCCTCGCCGTGCCTCAATAATTTAGTTCTGATACAGTGTACAGTACACAGCACTCTGTAATATTGCTATGTATGCCTTCTTTTTCTGTCAGGAGCTATGCCCTGCTTTCTGTCTATTTTAAAACTAAATCAGGTGAAACCAATCACCTACAGTCATTCATTTTTTACTTCCCGTCATTTTATCCTGATGAGAAATCCGGTTTTTCGCCCGCGAGTAAAGAAAATCTGGTTTGCTTTGTAAAAAAAACAGTTCTGTAAATTTTAAAAAATTTCTCAGGCCTGATAGATTATTTTTTGGAGAAACCTTAGATAGAATGAGATTTTTTTTGAGTAAAAATCTCGTCGTAGAAAAAAAATCGCTAAAAAACCAATTAAACTCTAATTGAATCATCAGAATCAATTATTTAATTAATTCGTTTTGAAAAAAATTTTCTGTCTTTCAAATTTCTAGTTTTAATAACAATTGAGTTAACTAGAAAAAATAATCATAATATTAGTACAAATTATTATATTTACAAAGCGCAACAACTATACTTTAAAAGTCTATTAAATTACCATTTTTTACTCAATTCATTGTATCAAATATCAGATTGCCTTGTAGAATTATTTGTATCGAACTTGATAAGTTTTTCAGAAAAACCAACGACTTAAATTAAAAATTTTTAATTCTGTTCGATACCACTCAAATAATTACGAGTCTCCCGAGGTTTGTTTAGACTTTTATACAGATTTCGAACCTTTCCTCTAGCTATTTGAAAAATTTATTTGCTTGAATTGAAACTTCACATTTGAAGTATTTAAAGTATTTATGCTAAAAGTAGTCTTCCGACTGAATACTTTGTAGAGTTTAACTTCAAGAAGTTGGTTAACAATTTACAGGCGATAGTCTTTTCTGCATCAATGTCAAAATAACTTCATTTACAGAGAACATTGAATAAAAAGAGCATTAAATGATAATTCAAAGACAAAATATATTGTTTTCTCGCACGGAACTGTTTTTTTTTTTTAAGTAATTTATCGATAAATGAATCGTTTTCCAAGTGGTCGCACTTAATCTCGCACTCTAAATAAATCTTTGAATAGTTAAATAGTCAGTCGTTAAATTGAATTTATTATTAATCGAGTTCAATGAGTACAAAATGCCGTACAATCTACGGAGATTTATTAAATCCCAATGGTAGTTCCTTTTAGTGTCTTGACATAAAAGAAACTTAACTTATTTTACAACTTTAAAGTACTTGAAACGTCGCGCAAGTTTAACCGCGTCTCCTAACTTTTTTATCATTTAATCCTTTAGACCAAAATCAGTCATTTCAATTTTTCCTACATATTCATTTTTCATTTTTAATAAATTTAAATTAGGGAGAAATTAATTTTTAGTGTATTAAAATTTTTTCTGTTTAAAAATTTGGAACAATCAAAATAAATTCATGCAAAAAGCTTTCATTATTTAATTAAATAAAATTCATATAATAAATCATCTTTTTTAATGGTTCATTTTTCCAAAAATTTTTTTTATAATTTCTGTAGTTATTTTATAATTATTTAGCTTTTAATGAAATTTATATCGCGGGAAAATTTGAAATTTCAAATAAGAAAATTTCTTACTTTTTTTCTAAACTTTTGCTCAGCAATTGCTTATTAAAAATAATTTTTTTTTTTTCAAAATACCTTTCAAAAAGTTCAATATAGTTACAATTTAAACGGAAAAAAATTTCAACTTTGAAAACTTAAAATTTTTAATTTTCCCGCCTCTGCCATTTCGATTCCTAAAACGATGTGATTACACTGATAAAATTTTCATAACTTGAATAAAATACAAGTAAACCACCGCAATAAAAAGTTTTTTCTGTAATTCTACCCTTACTGTCATTTTCAATAAAAAAAAAAAAAATTTCTGCTTTTAAAAACTAATTATTTCCAACAAGCTTTGTACACGTACATATTAACGATTACAACAAGCCAGATCAAATTAAAGCCGACTGTTCCCCACATAACTGATAAATGCAAGACGATACTTATGTCGTCGGGTATTATATGTTTCTATAGATAAACTGCATCGCATTTAATAACAACAAAACACAATTGAAATTATATTCGAAAGAATGAATTCCTTTTACACGAAGACGTACACTCGCACTAAACCGGCACGTCGTATAATAATAATAATCATCGCATCATCATTTTCTTCATTTATTCTTCCATGATAAATTTAAAAATCGTTCGTGTCTTTCCTTACAGTAAGCCCGCTGATTATTCGCGTTATTTGCGTGTTCTTTTGTCGCACGCAAACCCCCACAGCAATTTTATAGGAACTTACCCCTGTCCTCTACTTACTATACCTCTTACTCTATACCTTCATTCGACGATGGTTTATTTTATTACTCTTTACCGTGAAACTCGAGATTTATTCACGGACAGAAATAAAAAAAAACATTTACAATCCAACATTATCTATAGACTTATATGCGCACGACAACTATATTACAATAGTTTTTGTAAATATATTTATATATTAATGTATAAAAAATATATACGTCGACCTAGAAGATGAAATAGCGAAACCAACAATATCTACACGGAAGATTGCACTAAATATGTGGATGTCGACTCGAGTTCTCCAAAGAATAGTTTAACATTCATCTTATGTTTTCCCGACGAAACGTTTATTGATTCACTGTACTAGTTCGTTTACTTTCATTTTCGCTTTTTTTTTTTCTTTTATTTGGTATCATTAATTAGTACTAATACCCGGGAGTATTGAAACCAAATGGATAGACAAAAACACCGCATTTTTGCTATGTTATTTTGAGTTTTTTTTTTCTCGATTTTAGATATTTTTTCATTGTCAGTTTTAGTTTTAAAATTTTTAAGGTATGAACTTTAAAGTCTCTATTGAAAGTATTTTATTGAAATGTATCATACTGCAATGTTTTTACTGAAAACTTCTTTATGATTTTTAATTTCACCATAATATAAGAAAGTCAATAAAGCAAAAAAAAAAAAACAATTTTTTTTTAATTTATAAATTTGACTTTCTACTGTAATACAGAAGCAAAGTAAAAGTTGGTATCAAAATATTCATTAGTAGATTTGAGAAGGTTTTTAATTTTTTTATTTCCATGCAAAAAAATATGATGAATTTTATCTTTACATTTATATTTTTAAACAATCATAATTTAACAATTCATCTTAAAAATGTTTTAATTTTCTGAAAAAAATTTTGGAGAAGAAAAAGTTAAATTTTTTCTGTCAAAATAAAAGATATTTTTAATTTTTTGATATATTATTGTTGCAAAGAATATTTACTTGCAAAAACAATATTTTAAAACAATTAAAATAGTTTTTAATTAAATTTATTGAAAAGCGTACACAGAAAAAAAAATTTACTTGAATCAAGTAAATAGTTTTGAAGAACTTCATCTTCTTGATTTGAGTAGAAAAATTTTTAAACTAAGAAATTTTTTTTTGATTTTGAAATTTTACTTGATTTAAGGATATTTCATCTTGATTCAAAACAATTAAACTTTTCAAATTAATTTTCTTGATTAAAGAATTTTTCACTTGATTCAAGTTAATTTTTTTTTCTGTGTATTAGTTAAAAAATGATTTTAAGAATATAATTCATAAGACTAATCTTTTCTTGAATAGATTAATTGTTAATATTGATTAAATTACCATAAATCATTAATTATTGTTCACTACAATTAAAATTATAGGTTTTTTTGTACAGGTTGAATTTAAATTACCGTTTCTATTAAACAATTAGTGTTTAAACAATCATCAAGCAGTTTATCCGAACATTGCAGTTGATACATAAATAAAAAATAAAAAAAAGAAGCTATTTTATAAAATTACCATAAAATGAATAAAAGTTAAAATAGGTTTTGTTGGTTTCTCTTGTTTTCATTAAGTTGATTAGACGAGGTTCTCTATTATCCTTCTAAAACTAGTCTCTATACAATATAATAAAGTCTGTCCGCTTTTTCCGTTTTATTTTTCCTCAACCATTATAATTATAATTATAATTGCAATATTATATATAATAATACTCCTCTAACTCTAAAAGGTTACTTCTTATGTAGACTCTAAATTATTTTGATCTTTCTTCATCTTTAATATTAATCTTTCTTGAATGTAATTTGATTTTGGTTTTGGTTTTGAATTTGGTTTTATAATTATTATTATTTAATTAATTAATTATTTTGTTGTTTAATTTTTTGAACGAAATAGAGCGAATATTTCGCAAAATTTCGTTTTAATAAAAATATAAAAATGCGGCAAGTCATTGTTTTTGATTTTTATTTTATAAAAAAGTTAATTTATTATTGGTAAAAATGACTTATCGCAGGAGTTATTTATAAATAAGTAAATAATCGGAAAGCGTGTTGTTTGAAATAAATATAATGAATATTAGTGAAAACGCAAGGTGTGTGTCTATCGGTTTGGTTTTAGCCCTGAGCAACTGCTCTGAGAGCGGAGGTGACCCGGATGGCATGCTGGATATCCACCACCCAGGATCAGGAATCGAGACTCATCATCAACAGTTTCACAACTCATATGGTAATATCAACATCTCAATCATTAACATCTAACGGAATCAATAATCAATAATAAATAATAATCAATTATTGTACTAATTTAACGTTAACATTAATATTTATTCTAAAAGTATTTTTTTTTTAGTATAAAATAAATAAAATACCGAGTGTGATCTTTTAAGTCTTGCAAACCGTGGTTGTAAACGTTGTACATAGTATTTTTTTTTTATCTAGTGCCAATAATTTATTAAAATAAGCAAGTGTGAAATTAGTTGAGTGAACGATTCACACCCGTGTATTATAATTATTCATACAAGATC